GAAGTGAAAACTACCAATAATGTATTCAATCGATAGGTAAATTACACTGCATGGTTTAGCTAAATTCATTAAGAATTTTAATAAACATTGAATGTGTGATACCAAGGAAAAATTTTTTCAACTCCGGTATCATCGAAGATCAAAACTATAAATATATTTTCAGATTCCGGAACAAAGATAAGAGTTTCGTTGTGCTGCAATTGATGTTGAAGAATGAAATCTCTCCAGTTTCGGTGAAGACGTTTATGCTTTACACCAATTTGAGTACTTCTGTGTCTAGTGTTGATAAGTAACATGGGAGTCTTGATACCATTGATGAAGTGATCAATAAAGCGCGGAATTTTCTATCATCAAGAGGTGCAGATTAGAAGATATGCAGAAACAAAAGGAAATTACTTGCGAGAAAGTTGAGATGAAAAAAAGAATGCAGGTAAACATAGAATAGCTCACCAAACTGTTTGGAGTTGCCGAGTTAAAGATTTGATAAAAGCAAACCGAATCAGATAGATTTTGATAGAAATTTGGTGTCAGCGAGAAAGCAACTTGTTGTTGTCCAGCGGTCATGTGGATATCATCTGTAATTAGTGACTATGTGTTACATTAAAAATAATATATGATATAGATGAGGATATGAGATAGATACAGTGGTATTTTTACCTCTTGATGCAACGGCATTCATGTGGAACAGGTCTGGTAGGGGAACGGTCCAAGGCAAAAGAACTTGTTTTTGTAGTTCACAAAAGTGAATGACATCAAATATCAGATTCCCGCTATGTCGAAGTAATGGCGTGTCATGCCTTTTAACAATGTTGTGTTCACAAAAAACATCCCATCCTTGTGCGAATATATGATCCGTGACTGTGATAGGCCATTGCCGCAGTCCAAACCTCAGAATAATTCTATTGCAGTGGTGTTGATGAAGTAATGATTCAAACTGGGCAGGTAATACCTTGAAAAAATGAAGAAGGAAAATATTGTCAAAGAATACCATGCTATTTAACTCTAAATGCTGCAATGTAGGTGAACGACCTAAAAGTTAACCTGTCCTCTGTGGATGCATTTGAGTAGAAAACAGCAAGGTGATAAGCAGCTATTTGTCAATTGAAAATTTGTTGGAGATGTTAAGATTGTTTCTACCATGGAACTATCAAGATGAAAGCTGTAAAATTGAAAAATCAGAAAAGTGGTCTATTAATAGAAAATGTGAGTACAAGGCTACATCATGTGATAAGGATTAGAAATACATTGTAGAGCAACTCACCTGCTGACAAGTTCTTATGCAGAAAAAGTGGTAGTGCAAATGTATGGTTAAGAGTTGTTATGGATGAGTTTGTAAACGGTAAAGAGCATATATATAAAGAAAAGATCAATGTAAAAAGAGTATATTTTTCATTGCTGTTAATGCTAAGTGTGAGCTTTTTCCTACCACAATTGAAAACAATTATTAGTTGCAGAGGAAGGTAAGGAACAATGAATAGAAAAGACAATTCAATGTGAAACATTAAGCGTGAGCTGTCAACCGACTGCATGTAAAGTAATGCATTTGTAGTGCTTTAATGGCCTGAAGGCAAGATCATAATTTACCTTGTACTTGCAATGTTTAGTGTAGTAGGTAGGCTGACATATAAGTAGCAGGACCTGAATATATAAGTTTTATTTGTAAAAAATGCTGTCATTCGTAATAAATGAATAAGTGTGTATACAAAGCTGGAGGTTCCAAATGGATAATAATAATTGTATTGCAGAAAATATAAAGAAATGAAAATGAATCCCAAGTTATATAGATTATAAAGCTGCTAGTTCAGCAAAAAGGGAGTTCATCGTTAGGGATTCAAAGATATCTGTGAAAATCCTCATGCTATCCAAGATGGAGGATTTCAGTTAATCTTTAAAAGCCTGGCAAGAACTTTGATACAGGTGCCATTATCAAAGTTCAATGATCATGACAAAAGCTGTTTAGCAGATAACCACATACAAAAGTGAGGAAATTGTGAACAGATGAGTAGCATTTCCAAAAGCCATAAACAATCTGCCTAAGTATAGAAATGCAGATGACAAAACCCAAAAAATATTAATGTTTGAGCAGTCCAAAAGGAAATGAGGGCAATTTAGCCTAATTTTGCTTTCTTTTTGGAGTTGGCATCTGAACTTTCAAAGTCATTGCTGTCGACAGTTTCTGCTTCATCAAACTTTTGACAGAGTCGAAGGTGAACTTTTGAGCCAAAACCACCATCTCCTATAAGCACAAGGAGTAGTCAAGTTAACAGTTCATTTAAAGAAAATATGGTTATGTGTCACAACTCCAGATATATGTATCAACTTGTCATCAGCAATTACTCATTTTCAGTTTGCTGGTGAGCTGAAAGCGAGACAGATTCTGGTTCACCTGTCAACTGAGCACGACCAAATTCTGGTTCAAGTTCAGAGCAATATAAAATCGTATAACGCTGTCTAGCATCAGCGAGCTGTGTTTGGACTGGATTAATGTGAACCAAAAATGTCTTTGTTTTAATCTGAGCATGAACAAACTCAAGCGGCAGTTCAAGATTTTGCAAGAAGTACAGAAGATATAAGGGTGACAAGTAAATAACGCACCGAATATTAAATTTGAACAGTTAAAATAACCTGATCAAAATGATCCATTGCTTCAATGGCTGTAAAGGTCAAAATATTTTCTGCTAGATCTCCAAAGATAGAAGCAGGTATAACTCTATTGTCATCGCTCAAATCAACGTCAAAGCGACACCTAAAACATAAGTATACAAGTGCTTAGGCGATACACTGTATAACATTAATATTAAGAGGAACTCTTTGCATCTCAATTAAAGTTAATGATGTAGTAATATAGGACCTAGGCATAGCAGGGCCCTTCTCTTTGCATGAGTTATAAGTAAACTCAATTCCATGGTCTACTGCAGCAGCTCGGTAACACTTTGCACAGCTCATATACCAATATTTCTGGAAGATATGTTCAAAAAAGAGCTTTGCCTTGACCCAAGCAGTCTAAAAGATAGACAAATATCAGACGAAAGGCTAAATAGATATGAAACTATAAAATTACATAACAGTTTATTATTTGATCACTTTCTGTGATGGGATAACATTGCAAATTAGAGTAGTTTTCTGATCTGTTTTTAAAGAAAGCACAGGATTGTATTTAATATAACTCTTTGCATCAATGATTTCTGCAATTAATTTAGTATTTCTCATTGCCCTACAAAAAAGATCATATAAGGAAAATATTGGGAAAAAATGATACAGTTGATATTATGCTGCATAAAAACATGTTAGCTCAAGTCACTCCACCAATTCTTGAGCTGCCTTGCTTCCTATATAGGTGGATCAACAAGGAGTGCATAATCGAACCAAGTAGAGAAAGCAACACCTAAAGAATAAACAATATAATGAATATTGAATTATGATTAAGAAGCTTGACATACAAATAAAGGTCATAATACAAAAAAAAACAGCAATTTAACAAACCATTGTAGTTGCTAACTTTCAGCTTCCGACCAATGATAACGGCAGAGCTTTGCATGTTATTCAACAAAACTTGACCTTCATTGTTCAGAAAATCATCCCATAAAGAAAGCAGGATAGTTTGGGACCTAACATTGACATAAAAGTCAGGATGGGAATGATTTAAAGCTATAGGAAAAACGAGACAAGGTCAGTAAAAAGGTGTGTAGTATGATAAAAAGACATTTCGCACTCTTCATTAAGGAGGACAAATTTTTGAACATTCGACTGTTTGGAGTTTTTAGTGATCGTTTTTTTGGTCAATGAACTAATCACCACTCCGAGTACATCTGCAAAGGGAAAGAAGACAAACTGAGAATATTTTCAGTTTATAATAAAAGCATGAATGATAGACTGTTTGCATACTCACCGACGGACTTGCTTCTATCATCCATGTATTCAGCTAAATTAGCAAACTTGGTGAAACTAAATTTAACAGGCATAATGTCTTCATTGCCATTAACTTCTTCAATGACAGTTTTGGAAGTGATCACCCATTGTTTGGTTAATCCAAGACTTTGAAACTTTGGTGGAATACTCCTGATATCAGCATTTGAAATCTTATATTTTTTATAAACTTGCAGCATAGGACTCATTCTTGGAATATCAATATTGAAGATTATCCCTTCAACTTTAGAGCTCTATCAGGAAACAAAAAAAAAATTACACATAACAAATACAATTAACAATCAAATAATTGATGGTCGTTTCAGGTTCTAAATGCAACCTCTGAATCATAGAAGACAAACTTTTGCTTCTTGGTTGGTGTTCCCATAGAATCTGTCACTTGTTGTTTCTCCTGAACTGTTATGATACAAGACCAGTTTTTCATATCAGGCATGATGTCCCCAATCGGCAAGAGGTTAGACATTCCTGTAAAAATGGGAAAAGGATCATAATGGACAGGTTTGGGTATAGATAAGACCTTAACAGTAAGTAAACACAGCTATAAACTGGTACAAGTATACCTGAATATAAGAACATTCTACTGCTGGCTCAATTCAAAAATTTCATTGAACACAACATTTCTAGTTTTGCAATCTATTTTTATGCCATCAAAAGTTCCTGGTACAATAAGTATTTTATGCTCAGTTGAAGCTCTAGCTCTGGACAAGGCTACATATAGCTGTCCATGAGAAAAGACAGGCTCTCGCAAGTAAATTCCAACATAATCAAGAGTCTGTCCTTGAGATTTATTAATGGTCAACGCAAAACAAAGGCGGACAGGAAACTGAATTCTTATGAATGCAATGGAATTCTTTTGGTTGTCAGAAGTTTGTAAGGATATCTTTGGAATGAGAACTCTCTTTCCTCTATGCTGGCCGAAGACAATTTCAGCAGAGATAGTATGCCGACCAAGCTCTCTACATATAAGCCTTGTGCCATTGCATAACCCTTCAACAAGATTTAGATTCCTTATTAGTATAATCGGGGCAGTTTTCTTTTAACATTAACCTGTGAGGAGGAAGAACTTTTGGATTCTAAGAATTAAGGAAATCCTTGTAATCATCCTGGTGCCGCTGATCAATAGCTTTGTCAGAACTAATGTAAGTGTGAAGCTCTCCAGGAAACCTTCTAATCATTATATCATTCAGCTCATCAACCGAGTTATTTTTAGGGGTAAGAATACATCTATTAATCATGCTATACGGATCCTGGGAATAGAGAGTTAAATCTGGAAATACAGAGTGTAGCAACCTGTTAATAAAGAAGTTAAATTAGAAGTTGTATACAATAGATAAAACAGGCCAATATTAAGTTATTTAACCTGTTTAAGGATTCTTCTTTATCATAATAAGGAATGACTAAATCTCTGAACAGAGTTATTTTGCTGTTCAAGTTCACAGGCTCGCGCCCTTCGCCAACTCTTAACAGGAATTCAGAAAATTGAGGATCTAATATAGTTCGCATGTTTTCTGTTAACTTCAGTTTATGAAGCTTATACCACAATGGAGAATTGAGAAAGCAAGACTGCAAAAGGACCTCTTTTGTTGCTTGTTCAATAACAGGTAGTATCTGTCGAAAATCCCCACCAAATACAATAACTTTAGCTCCAAAAGGCAGTTCAGATTCCATCATGTCTCTAAGCAAATCATCAAATGTCTTAATGGTTTCTCGTTTTGTCATGGAAGCTTCATCCCACAAGATCAGTTTAGACTCTAAAAGCAGCTTTGCAACACTGCCTTGCTTGTTAAGCTGACAGGTTCTGTTCTTTGAGAAATCAAGAGATATCTTGAACCTTAAGTGTGCAGTTCTTCCTCCAGGAAGGATAGACGTTGCAATTCCAGAGGTTGCTACTGCAATGGCTATATAACCTTGCAATCTCAAAGTAGCTAGCAGCGACCGGTATAAAAATGTTTTACCGGTACCTCCAGGACCATCAATAAAAAAAGAATGTCTGTGGGAAGCAAAGCATGCTTCTAGGATCTTGTTATAAGCATACTTTTGCTGGGAATTTAATTTTAAAGACATTAGCAGATTTTCCGGTGGTATGTCTATATTTCTTTCAGCCTCTATCTCTTTTGTTAGGTGAACTTGATCCACACTAACAAGGTCATCTAATGGTAACTGATATGCAACAATGCTTGTACCCATCTGCTAAAGAGATTTGTTAATATCAGCAAGAACTAATCCCCTAATTTCAGCAAGAGAGTGGTCATGAGATTGTTTGTGCCAGAGATAATCCCTAGAAAAGTCCAATTCAAATTTTTTCCACAACATCGTGGGATCAATTGGAGAACAATAGACCAGAAGAGTAGCAAATAATAATCTGAGTGAAGATGGCATTTGAAATGCAGCGGCTTTCTCAAGTGTTTCTTCTATATACGTATCAGATTGCAACAACTCAAGCGCTAGAGCAGCCTCTCTAAATGAGTTCATTTTTTTATCATGAACAGTCAAGAGATCTTGAAATGATATCGGTCCAGGAATATGATTTAAGAGAAGCCTTACATAGTACCTCTCTCCTTCTCTTGGATTAACACTGACAAGTCTACCTATCACCTTTCTACGCTTCCTTTCCGTTCAGTGTTTATACTTGGAAGACCAAATGAAATGCTGAGGGAAATCTTTATAAAGCATTTAAGGTTTTCAGCAGTTGCATTGGTTGCATTCATCTTGAAAAACTCAGTTAGCATGGTCTTAGAAAAATCAACTTTTGCTAACAATTGCAACAAATTTGAGTTTTCAGAAAAGAAACAAGCTGCTGATTTGGAAGGTGAACCTGGAGAGTATAAACAGATGGGGTCATCTCATTTAAACGAAACTCATAGATACGCCAAAAATACTTCCGGAGGTGAAATGTATCTACCTTTTTGGAACTCTTTAATCTCGTCAGTACCAGTAGCACTATCATCCGTCATAATCCTAAAGGAGACCAGATCATGTCCCTTGAACACATACTTATACAGGTACTTGACCCGTTTAATGGTAGAACAAATCTTCACGTTCATGTGACAATCGAACAAAGTAAGAAGATAGGGGTTGTAAGGCACAATGCACTTATTATCAAGGGTGAATCTGCGAACTTTCACTTTCTTGCCATCATCCCACCTTCTATAATATGGGTAACTATCTTCACCATAGGTTGTATGAGGGCATAAACTTTTTGGATAGTGATTCTTATAGGAACCGTCTTTCATGCAGGGACAACTTTTATCCATTTCTCCACAAGAACCATGGATCATATGCTTTATAACAAGAGAGTAGAGGTGAGGATACAGAAGGCGATCAGGTAATTTAGCACCGACTACTTTGTCGTATGACTCTGGATTGAGCAACTTAAATTGAGGCTTTAAAATGAGTAACAAATGAGCATGTGGAAATCCCCATTTTTTGAAACTCAATGACATAGACGCATGCCGCCACCTCACCAAAAATCTGCCTATTCAAGAGTTCATGTTTAAACATTTCAAATTTATCTCTAAAAACTCTAACTAAAAGATCATGCCTATCCTGCGGCTTCTTATGATACTTCAGATTGCACTGAATTTCTTCCATGCCAGATTGCAGGTCATGGTAAGAAAAATATCCGATTTTTCGTATTTTTGTACAAGTGTCATTGCATCAAAATAGCGGCGCCTTATGTCTCTGGGACCACCTATAAAGGAAGCGGGCAGCACTATCCTACGACCAACTTTAGAACCTTCAGTTTGGCCTAGAGAGACACTATCCAATACCTCTTGAAGAATTTCTGATCTGACAACATTTTGTCGGTGTCTATGAAAGTCCAGCCTAGAATTTTCTATCTTCACATAGGAATCAACTGAAAATTATTGTAGAAGTCTAAAACAGTGCAGCAACATCGACTCATCGCTGTCTCTTATTTGAAACCTATAATAATAATATTCTCTAGCTAATACAGTGTCCTCTTCGTTCTTTCCATGTTCAATGGCTATAAAGAAGAAGTAAGAAATGTCAAACTAATGATGAAAAGTTTATGATGCTCACCCTAACAATCTCAAATAGTAAGAAATACACTTGCCTCTGTATTCCAAATCGAGCAAATATGAAGGGTTATTAACAGAGAAAGGATCAATATTTAAATCATCCTCACAAGAATCTGTCTTTCTCTTCCTCTTGCAACGTTTTTTAACATCATGGTGCCATCCACATTCACCTTAAGGAAAGAGAATAGGGTACTGAAAAGGATCATAACAGCCATAGTAATGCTCAATTCTATGGCTGGCATTAGAGTGGGTATAAACTTGAATATGAATATTTCTATCTGCCGATTCATCGTCATCCTCAGTCCATATGGCAACAACTTGAGAAGCCGTAGGCAGATTATAGACACGCTTGTCCAAACCGGGATGACAATTCAAAACAATTTTATAGGTGTCAATGTTTGGGACATGTCTGAGATTCTTAAAGAATTTTGCATAAGGATTGTTTGAAAGGATGTGCATAAGTAATCTTAAAGTGCTTTCACGCAACTTATCAGAACTTTCAATTCTCTTTGCTAATTCTTCTTCAGAATCAAAAAAGTAAAACTGAATTCCAAAAGGTTTTTCGTATGACTACATCAAACTATTAAGGAAATGGTAGATCTGACCTTGAACACGGAAAGTATAAACACCTTTCGTGTTCTTGATCAGTTCTAGATCATATTTTGCAGCAAAGGATGTGAATCCCAAGTTGTTATTATAGGTCCGAACATTGTTTCTGAAATGAGCACTTTCTTCATCATTTTCGATAAATAGGCGCTTAAGATCATAAGGCATCGATGGAGCCACGATAGAAATATCTCCTCCAGAGCAGCAAAAGTTAGGAGGTTCTAAATGGAACCTCTTGGCTCCACAGTGCTCACAATCAGGAGCATTTGGAAGAGTTAAAGTATCGTGTGGGATTTCATTGATCAGAAAAATTTGTCGCTACCTCCCTCTTTTAGGTGCAGCTGCATTTATTTTGAAACTATAGCTGAGAAGCGAGCTAAGTTGTGCCTCTATTAGGCTAATTAGCAATGGCATCTAAAATACCCGAAATAGTTATTGAAGAATAAAATGCCAACCCGAAGTTTGCTTCCTCACACGGCGACGAGAACAGCGACTTCGGGTCGAAGGTTGCACTTTACATGAGAAACCAGAAGAGTAGGAAATTGTTGTTGCTTTCCTCATAGAATCATTTTTTCCAATAGAATGGGTAGATTGTCTCTCCTAAACAGAGGTAGTTTCTGCAACCGTATTAAGAAATAAGCTAACCAAAAGAGGCTAATGTTATTTCAGCAAACACAATCAGTATGTGGAGGGAATTAAAGAATACTCAACAGGGTTGTGTTGAGCATAGCTGCTATTTAAAAAATATACCTTGAGAAGTAGAAACTGTTTCACAAGTGTGGTTCTCAGAAGATGGCATATTTTTCCAAAATGAAATATTTGGTGCCTACCAGTGAAGAGAGATTGCAGTTGACCAGATTTCATATGAACCTTGGGCAAAGAAGAGTACTCAACAACATTTTCAAAAAGCTCAGGAGCAAGTAGAGGATCTTTGCCTATGTAAGAAGGTTGCAGGATGCTCTCAGAAAGTCAAGAAGAGCTGTTGGGCCTGTCAACCGACATCACAAGAAAAGAGCAAGCAGATCCAATTATAGAATTTTGCTCCTTAAAAGATGCATCCTTTTGTTGCAGAAATTGACCTGTCTCACTTGTAGTTGTGAGAGGATAAAGCTCTTCAGAGTTCACAGAAACATGGGCTGAAGAACAATACTCAACTGGATTTTCAAAAGGATTGTTTGTAAGCAAATCCTCTTTGTTAAACTTGAGAGCTTGGACGACGCTATCAGAACGATTAAAGCAATCGCCTAGTCGATCATGCAGTGTACAAGTATAGAGTTCCTAATTTTTCTCCTAGGTAGGCAGAAATCAGGCTCAATAGTGGAAGAAGGAAGGTTCAAATTTTTCCTTTTTTTGGAAGAAATTTTCCTTTGCAGCTTCTAAGATCAGCCCTAGCAGTAAGTGGAAGCTCTGCAGATTGCAAATGAAGATGCATTCATTTACAAAGAATTGAAATGTAGAATCAGCAACCAGCAGGTAAGGGAGCAAATGCGGTCTAAAAACCAAGAACTGGACAAGAAGAAAGCACCAAAAGAAGGACATTGCCAACTATACCTGCAAGAATACTTGCAATTGGCATGTCATTTGCTGTCTCAGAAGAGTGAGCAGAATGAACGTGAGGAACAAAAGGAGCAAAATCGCGAGAGGACATATATTGTAATGCCTCAGTAATGACATCGGCACTGCCGTGACCTCTCTTCAAGGCTTCGCATCCTAACTTTTCACTATGCATAGAAGAGTGATTCGCACCATCAAGTTTTTCATGATGTGAATCAGGGAAAGAAACACCCGATTCCATATAACCAAGTGGAACTTTACGAATACGTGGGAGTAAATGCGCATTCTTTTTCTTGGCAGCTCTATTTTCTTTTCGACGTTGCAGGAGTCCCATTTTTTTCGAAGGTGGCATTTTTGCATACTTTTTGCGGCGAGTAGCATTTCTATCCATTTGTTTTTACTAAGAGCACAAAATATCGAAGGACTATATAAAGAAAGGAATATCTAACTTAGCAAAAAATAATGTAAATCGAAAATTGGCAGAAAACAGAGCAGGCAAAAAACAAACGAACATCAAGGAGGTAAAGGAGTTCATAGCCGACAGTTGAGCAAAGAACAAATGTGTACATAAAAAATAATCAGGCATGTAATTATAGCACCAAAAACAATAGAATAACTTATATAAGCAAGTATAAGGATCACAAAAGGTATAGAAAGGCAAAAAGTCCCAAACTAAAAAAAGGTAAAACTGGAGCAGGCCGTAAGTACTGATGCATCAGAAAATGCATGCCAAAGATGCACAAATTAAGGATAAAATATAGAGAAAAGAGTAAAAGAAGAACAAAATCAGAATAACTAACCTGTGAACACGAAGAAGCTCAACACCGCAGAAGTGAATAACAGCAAAGAAATCACAATCATGTAAGAGGTAAAAAGAAAAGATGAAAAAAAAAAGGGGAGAGAAAAAGAGAAGCTAATTTGGTGATAATAATTTAGAAGGGGTAGACAAAAAAGTAAAAACGGTTGAACCAGTGCATTAGAAAACAG